TTGGTTTTAAATCTCCTCCGGGGTCCTCTTTTTTTTTTTTTTTTTTTTTTTTAACCATCTGTAGATCATCACAGGGTTAGATTTTATTGTACTTGCTATTGTCTGGTGGAGGGGACTGGGGACAATCTGGTTCTTCCTGGGGGATGATGGAGGGCCTGGGGGTGTGTGCAGGGTGGATTTGGGGGGTTGTGTTTGTTTTTTTTTTTTATCTTTAAGTAAAACCTTGCTTGAGAGCCCTACCCTTAGTATGAAGACCAGGAAAATTCATTGGCTTGTTTTTTCTCCTCCCACGTTTTGATTTCTGTTCCACATTTTAAAAAACCCAAATGCATTACCTTGGACCCCACATCAAAACCCCGCGAGAAGGAGCCGAGGGGTGCATCTGGGATGTGAAGTGGGCTAGCCCTGATCATCGCTGGCACAGAATGTGCTTCCCCGCTAAGCAGGAGGAAAATAAACTCACAGGGATCAGTGGTGATGATCTAGAAGAGACCCACACTAAGACTTTGGCTGATGACTTTGAATTTAAATTCTCAGGAGCTGGGTCCTGCCGAGCTGCTGGCCCTGCTCTGTTTGCATCCAACTGGGAAGGAGACGGTGGTCAACCCTTGGCAGGCGTGTAGCTCAGAAAAGCAGACTTCTAAACTTCAGGGACAAGGAAATATTAGAGAAACCTGTTGGGGAGCGCAGCGTGGCGAGCAGCCGCTGGGCGTACGGGGAGTTGTGCAGCTGGGCTTTGCCTTGGGAAAGCTGCAGCAAGACACGGCTTTCTCCGGTCTCGCGGAAGTACAAGCATAACTTTGCTCAGAGGTGCGAGCAAGGAGTAATATTTGCCACTTCTCTGGGGAATTTGGGGGATTTCAGTGCAATTCTCATGCAGCAGCACAAGGAAAGTCCTGAATAACTTCAGCAATCCAGTTCACTGAAGGAGGCACGGTGCTCAGGGAGGATGCTGTGGCCACAGGGTTGCTGTTGGAGTAGGCTCAGTCTTTCTTGCCCAAGCATCAGGCACTGATGGACCAGGACTTGGCTCAGTGCATCTGCTCTAACCTTAAATAGGCACAGAAATTGGGGAGGTGTGAGCTGGACGAGGGCCAGCAGCCCCCATCCTCGCACCACAGACACCCCAATAGCAGCACCCCAACATCCCCCACCTTGCACACCGGCGGTGGGGTAACTGCAAGGTTTGCTTTTGTTTCTCGTGTCAATCTCTGCTTTGTAATCTGGCCCATTTGTCAGGTAGAACAGGGGAAGGAGCAAAAGGTCACGGGCTTGATTTACCAGGAGCCTTAAAGTTATTAACACTCCTCAGCCTTCCCGTTGGGAATTTTCTTTGCCCTCAACTGCCTGTCAGTGTGCTGGCGGAGATAAAGCCCTGGGGTGTCAGGGCTAATGCAGGGCCAACGACAGATCAAAGGAGCCTGGGTCGGGGTGGGTTTCCAAAACCTTCGGAAAGGCGAGGTTGCACCTTGCTGGTGCGCACGTTGGAGGGACGGCAGCACTTCAGCAGAAAGCCAAACTCTCAAACTTAGCAACGCTGTGGTTGCAACCACCTGGTAAAGGGCATGAACGTGTTGCGAGAGCTTCCAGTCTGCTTTAGTTAAAGAAAAAGCCATGAGAAGATTGGGGAGGGGTGGTATTTTGGGGGGTTGTTTTGTTTTGTTTTGTTTTTTTTTCCCCCCTCCCATTGCAGGTCTTTGATCCTTTTCCCCTCGCGAACTGAACGTGCAGAACTCCAGCGCTGTGTGCCGGGCAGCGCCTTGGGTGCGCGGGTTGGTGCTGATGCTGCGGGCAGCTCTCCCCTGGGCTGGACCAACCCCTCTAAGAGGAGAGGCGCAGGGATGTAGGTTTAACATGCATTAGTCCACCTTCCTTACCGACATACGCACACAAAGGCCTAAATTATTGGTGTTTTGGTATGTGTTAGCATGTCAGCACCTGTAGTCGGAGTACGGATGATCGTACATAAGGCAGAAGAAGGTTGGGAGGGAGACTGGGTGATGAGAGCTCCAGGTGATTTTCTTTTCATAGAGCATTTTGCAAATCTCTCTTTAAATTCTACTTTTCAGCTCCACCGAAGTTGATGATATGATTAGAAAATCTACAAATCTGCTGCTGACCCGAACGCTGAGCAACTGTTTACAGAATGTCATCAAGAGGAAAAACGTTGGGCTGACGGAGGTAGGACGCGGCTTTGAGGACACCCGTTTCCAGGGCAGGGCAACAGAAGGGGGTTTGGTCCCTTGGAGCTCCTTACAGCACCTTTAGAGATGCTGGTTTGGAGCATTATTATAAAATACTTGGTTGGAAGACAATAACGGAACCGTGCAGCCTTGCTGTACAAAGCAAGAAACACTTTATATTGTGGGGAAGAGGAAGTTTTTTGCCATTGCTGTTAGCGTTACCCCTCTTTTGAATTTGCGGAGCATTATGTATCTGAATTAAAGTAAGAGGACTTTGAGGAACACCAAAGAAGAGCCAAGTGGCAGCTGCGAGAGGATGGGGGAGTGGTCCCCATCTATAGGTGATGTTTGAGGTGGTTTCAGCACACCGCTACAGTACAAACTCTATGTTGGTATTTTCTTTTCGCAATCGATACTTTTTTGTGCACAAAGTCAGATTTCTGAAAAGTGTAATGCATGTAAATCCTGGCTGTCTGGGAGCGTGTGTGGTACCCAGGGCAGTTTGGATACCTTAGTGGGACCTGTTATTAACTGAGCAGATATTAATACAGCTGTAGTTGTTTAATTGACGGTACTGTAGAAATGTGCCCTGTTCTCTGGATGCTGTAAATACCCTATGGAGGTGAGTTTTGGAGAATTTAGTGCATTTACAGCGGTATGTATTTACACATGATGCTTCCTCAACCCTTTCTTTATCTCTCAGTCTGGAATCTCTCTGCTCCCTGGGGGCAAATTCCTCTTCCCTCCTGCTCCTCCCAAGGCTCCCTCCGAAGAGGAATGCAGCACTATCCCTGCACTCTCCATCCCCCAAATGATCTTTTTGGCTGCTGTTGCAAACGTTCCCACAGTGTGATTGAACGTGGGAAGGGCAAACCGAGTGCCACAGTCCCCTCGACCGCTTTTGCCCGGTTTAGATGGTGTAGATGTTCCTTGACGCCTTCCGCGCTGAGGGAAGGTGACGCCTTTCTTTGGGCCGAGAGTGGCTTCCTCATGCGCTTTGGAGCTGAAGAGGATTTTTGCAAGGAAAGTCCACGTAGCACAACCTGAATTTAAAATAGAGGTGTAATATGTCCAGAGACGGGTGTTCATCTCTGAATCTCTTCTCGTATTTTCACCTTCTTGTTCTTTACCACTTACCAAGGTACAGCTAGCTCTCTCCTGGGGTTACCTCCACCATCAGTTTTTGCTAATTTGGTTGAAGAAAAACTACATTGAGCATCTTCGTCCTCACCTACCTCTTTTCTTCGTGTAAGCATTGACCTGTTTGTCCAAATGGAAGCACATGGCGTTTTTATTCGGAGTTTCTCAAATCCTTCCCGCTTAAGACAAGACATTGCTGTGACTGTGTGGAGCACAGAAATTAAAGGGCACATTGAAGAGTCCCAGGTCATATGCAACCATAGTCCTGGTGTCAAAAGTGATCGCAAAAGCTATTTAAGTACCTTGCACAGCTATCACTTCCCAGGTTTAATTTTGGCACAAAGCAACACCATCCATTTCTGGGCTCTCCGGTGTCATCTTCCAAGCAGCAGACGAGGTAATACAAGGCCATGTACCGACCTTCCCAGTCTTGAATTTATTTTTCATTGCTGGTTTTTGGGGCTACCCTTAGCAGTGGATGTTGAAGTTTGTTACCAAGTCTGCTCCAAATAATCCTGGTGTTTTGAATAACCCTGACATCCCTCAACAAAAGAAAGACGATGCTAGTATTTTTTTCATTTGAATACCCCAAGGACAAGGACGTACCCCAGTGAGACTGTCTTACCCCTCCAAATTCAAGAGAAGATCAGAACTTGAAGGAGCCAGAGAGGTCCTAGGAAAGCTCATAACAAGTGGTAGAGGAGAATCAAAGCAATCAGGGCCTTCAAGTTTGATAGCTGATCTGGACCAGTAAGTTGTGATGATCAGAGAAGAGGTTTAGGAGGAATTTCACACAGTTGGAAATATCTAATATTTAATTAACTTGAAACTATAGGAAAATATGTCATGATCATGAGGTCAGGGCTATCTGACGTGGGGAAAACGCAAATGAGTGCTTGTTCCAAGGCAGAAATCAAGAACAAAGTTAATCCAAGGAATTCAGAAATGAGAAGTCGTCCTAGTTACCTGTGTAATACATTTCACAGACCAAGTACAAAACAAGAGGAGTTCAAATAGATCATAATTTGATTTCTTGAAGACAAAAACCTGACTGAAATCAAAGTAGTGTTGGCTGGAAGGGACCTCTGGAGGTACCTAGCCCGACCTCCTCCTGGAAGTGGGATCATTGCTCACTTGGATCACGTCAACGGTGGCTTCCTCTACCCGACTTTCCATTTCTCCAAAGCAGAGGTCCCACGGCTCCTCTGGGCACCCTGTTCCAGTTCTGCCCTACTTCCCTGATGACTCTTTTCCTTAATATGGCTCAGCCTCCCAAAAGGTGCCTGTTGCCCTTTCTCGTGCCATCTGGCACTAGCAAGAGTTGGGTGCTGTAATCTTTGTAGTGGTATTTCAGTAGTTCTGTGCCTGCAACATTCAATTTGCTGATTAATCCATCTCATTCAGAAGATTTATGAGTGTTTCAAAATAATTTCTTTAGAGGAAGTGACTGCGGACTGCCACACCATGCTCTAGCAGTTAAATTATATCAATCTGGAGAGTTATAATGCCTTCTGTGTCTGTAAGAGAACTGTTTTGGCATGATATCTGAGCTAGACGTTATTTGGGAAGGTTTTGTTATAGCTTATGTTGCACCTTGAAATATTCACAGCAGTCTGCTTGGAGAAAAGGTATCTGCTTAAGGAATTAATGGTGCTTCCAAGTCAGTGATCCTGAAGTGGAAGCCCGGATTGTTTTGCTCTGGGTAGTAAATGTTTGTGTTGATTGACTTCAGCAGAGGCTTTTACTCCGTAGTTGCCTTTAATGTCCCGAAATAGTGCCATGTGAAGGCAGCTGAGGAGACAGCATTAAGAAAATTGCAGATAATGGTGGGTATGATAACCGAAAAGATACCAGGGTGAGATCTGCTGTTCACCCACACCACCGTCAGAAAAGTAAAACCTTGTGGTTTCTTTGTGAAACACCTTAGTACGGTGGTGTTCGGTGTCACTCAAGATACGGGTTATTTAGGGTTCGTTAGCAGACAGAATACTTGTGATTTGACATGGCATTTTTTCGGTAAGCCTGTTGTATTTGAACTGTGCTGAAATGAGCGCTGACTGACAGCTGAGTGTAGGAGTGTCATTAAAAAAAAAATACCTTTGTGGTATTAGTGGCTGTCATGGGAAATGCTTTTCCCCCCAAATTATCTTTTATTTAAGTTTCTGATGTTGTTAAAGGAGCAGAGCCTTTGAGCGTGTAGCAAAGCTTTAGTATGTTTGTACAGCGTCAGCTTTTCCTGCCAGAAGTTCTTGTAAATTGGCATCCAGCAACCTGGCTTCAGGAGCACGATGGTTGAACACCTTTTTTTTGCCTTTGCAGCTTGTACAGATTATTATAAATACGACCCATTTGGAGAAATCCTGCAAGTTCCTAGAGGAGTTCATAACCAATATCACAAATGTACTTCCAGAAACTGTGCACACTACAAAACTCTACGGGACCACAACCTTCAAGGTGAGAAGGCTTGGTAGATCCACCTCCGGGGAGTTGCTCTTGATACTGGGTTGGAGAGGATCTGCTTTCAAAGCACGTGTGTGGATGTGTGTATGTAGGGAGTTGAGCTGAGCTGGAAGGTAATTTTGTCATATCGGGGGAAGCTTACGCCATCAGACTAGCTTTGGGGGTTGTCCTTCGGAGCGCTACTTCTGTTGAGATCGTGAGCCTTTGTAGCCCTGGTTTACAGGCTGTGACCGCAGCACTTATTATCTAAAGGATTAAGCAGCTTTTAAACAAAAGCCTACTTTTTTTTAACTTTGTTAGAAAGTTTTTGGGTTTTGTTAATGCATTTTCATTTTGCTGTTTGAGCGCTGTACAGTGTTACACACGCCTGACCATAAACGCAAGCTCTCCTTTTTCACCCAAGAGGAGAACAGATTTTCCGAACTTGTATTTCTGTATCTTTCTGCTCCTTTTAGCATTATCCCCTAAAAATCTGGGCTGGCAGAAACTGCTAGGCTTCCCAGGCTTTAAATCTTTAAATCATAACCCAGGAGTGTCCACCCAGACACTTTATATGAAATCTTAAGGCCATAATCAGGTCAACTGGGAGGTGTCTGAATTGTGTCCCATGGCTGAAGAACAGGAGATGGGAACAGCACGGAGGACTTGTGCAAGATTACGGAATTGGTTAGGTGAGGTTTGCACTTCGGATAACTCAGCAGGAGGCTGAGACCACATGTCCCCAGGGCAATCCGTCCGTTGTCCCTTCTGGCCTCACCTACCTATTTGGCCTGAAGGTGAGTTTTCCTACCCTTGTTCTGGCAGGGAGGCTCCTCTGTGGCCCCCCTGCAACCCATACCTGCACACGCTCTGGATGGTCTCAAGCTTTTTCCATATGGGACATTCCTCTCCCATCTCTCTCTCTTCCATCCTGCACTAGATTTGTCCTCCTGCTCCCCAGGTTGCATCAGAGGTAGACACCAGCTTGATCTTGCCTACCCCTGACCTGGTGGCACATGTCCCACCAATCTGAGCTAGCCTGAGGCTACAGCGGCCGTGTAGTTGCCTACAGGCGCTTTGTCTTGTTCTACCTTTAGACTAAAGGTTGGGTCAATCTCACGTCCTGTTACTTCTGTAGACTTGTGGTGTGGAGACTCCATCCCATGTAATGTTGTCTTGTTTCCCAGGACGCCCGCCATGCTGCCGAGGAGGAGATTTACACTAACCTGAACCAGAAAATAGACCAGTTCTTGCAGCTGGCGGACTACGACTGGATGGCCATGGAGCCGGGCAGCAAGGCTAGCGACTACCTTGTAGATCTCATTGGCTTTCTACGCAGCACGTTTGCCGTGTTCACCCACCTCCCGGTAAGCCACCTCCACTGATTTGCTTTCTTTTTCAGTCTGGGGAGCACATGGGCATCCGATGGTGCTGGTGAAACAAATGGTTGCTCAAGCTTTATGGAGTGTGATGGAAATGGGGCCTTGGAGTGTCAAGTGTTATGAAATAACAAATCTATTTTTAAAGTAAGCTATTTCACGTGTTAGGAGAAGTTGGGCTTCAGTGAGAGTCTCCCCAAATATTTGCAAGTCTACTTATACATGAATTAGGGAAACATCACAGTCCACCATGTAGAAGTAGGATCATAACTCACTAGCCACCTATGTTTCAGATATGTTAACTTTCAGCTTAATGGCCATTCAAGATTTTTTTCAAGAGATGCCAGTATACGGGGGTCTATTATTTGAACTGCAGATATATTTCCAAGTGTTTGTCAAGTCACTGGATGCCTTACATCAAAATATTGCTCTGTGGGAAGGCAGCATATGTTTCTTTCTTTTCTCTGCTGTCTAAAATATGCCTGTGTTTATGCTGTTATTGCGATCAAAAAAATGTATTTTATGTTGTTTTTTGCAGTTGGCTGAGTAGTGTCCCATTGAATAGGAAAAATATAATCGTCAGGGAGTTTCATTTTTGCTCAAACAGCTTTTTTCTTTAAATAAGATTTGTTCTGAGCTGTCTCGATATATACTGAGGAGTATCTTCAGTCAGCAGGTATTTTGAAGTAGCAAGTCCACGGGAACACTCTGTTTGTCCTAAAAGCAATTTCAGATCTTCCTTCTTTCCTGGACTACTTACTGGTTGTTACTGGGTGCCCAGGATTATACTACACCGGCACACACTGGGCATCTTTCATGAGGTGGAAGGTAAACAGGAAGAAAAGATTAGTGGTACACTGTGGCAGTTTCCGTCACTTCGTTCTGCTTGTTTGTGCCACTGTGATTGCTCTGCTGGAAGGATCTTCAAGCCCTCCAGAGCCATTTTAGGAGGTGTTACAGCCCCAAAACTGTGCAGCCTTCTGCATGGCTCATGTCTTTGGGCCTTCTCTATCATGGCCGGAAGATTTGGTGGTGGGATGGAAATGAGGACTGGTTTGCTGTGGATGGAGAAGCCACCACAAGGGAAATGGAAGTGGCTTTCCTGGTTCTCTGTACTTCGGAGGTGGTGTGGAGGAGAAGGTGCTTTCTTGGCTTTGTTATCACTGGAACAAACTGCTAATTCAAGTGTTGCCTCCTGTTCAGAGAGGTCGGAAGGGCTTTCATCCATCTTCTCGTTCAGGCCGGGTTTATTGCCAAAGTGTCACCTCCGTTGGCAGCCCTGAGCAGTGTGGCTGGTGGCCGGGCGAGCGGGCATGGGACAGGTGCCCTCTGGAGTCAGGAGGTACTTGGAGATGGCTGGATTCCTCAGCTGCTGGATTTCTCCTTAAAAAAAAAAGGAGATGTGGATGGACAGGGATGGTTTATCACCTGGACATCACTTCCACAAATCATACTGGGAGTACTTAAGCAAGCAAGTAATGGAGTTTGACAGGGAGATTGGTCTCTGCACTGGAGCGTGAAGCACGGCTAGCAGGAGAGATGAGGGTAGGGAGAGATGCTCACAATGATTTATGAGATGGATCTGGAGTGATTTATCTTCCTTAAATATTGTTTCTTTTTTGAGTGAGTCAAAATTATTTTGGAGATTGGCTGGACAGCTAATTGGTCTAAAAAGGACCGAGACAGATTGAAGCAGCCTTTCCTCTTCCAAAACTGGATTAGAAAGGACCCAGCTGAAGAGAAGGCTGTTTGCATTTGCAGTGCAGCACCTTATCTTCAAAGCAGTGCGCGGCACTGATCCTCCGACAGCCTGGTGAGATAGGGGAGGCGAGTCAATCAGATGCTCCAGTCTGATTTGTGAAGCTGTAGGTCTGGTTCAATGGTATGTAGGAGACGTAGGTCTGGGATTGATTTTTTTTTTTTTCTGAAATATATATTGGAGTTTTTTCCTTTAGAGGAGTGCTGTGAAGATGCCATCAGTGAACATTGCCGACGGGTTTGTGAGTACCCTTGCAGGCAATGGTGGGTGAGAGCAAGTCAGGAAGAATCAGGGTACATCTAAAAGGCACCCAGCTCCTTTGGTGTCTCTGCTGGTTCCTTCTTATAGGGCTCAAGGGCCTTCTCCCAGTGGCTTATTTAGAAACACATTAAAATATCTGCGCTTTTCTGAATGAAATGTCTGAATGGCAGTCTCAGGAGATGACGAAGTGGCTGGAGCAGAGCTACTCACCTGCCTTTTGTCACGACGGTAATTACACCGAGAAGAACCTTCACCTGCTGATCAAAGAAACTCAGCCTGGGCATGTCAGTGGTTACCGTGCTAAAATTACACCAACAAAAAGTGCTGTCCTGTAATAGAATGGAGCCGAAAGTCCTGAGCCTGCAAAAATACAGGCGGCTCCTTGACATGATGGGTGTGAGTAATCCCATTGTCTCGGACGGGACTGCTTGTCTGCAGGAAACCTTTCTGGGGTCAAGGCTCCAGCTTGCTGCAAGGCAGAGCAAGGGGCCTTGAAATGTCCTGTTGACTCGAGTCAATGTTTCGGACAAGGAGGTGAAGAGGAGCAGAGTTGCCGAGTGAGCTAAAAGGTGACTCCAAGCCAAGATTTAGGCATTAGGTTTTACCTTTTTGGATACATGAGGCTGAATTTTTCCTGTATGTATTGGAGGGAATGCCAGGACGGTTGAGGTTGGAAGGGACCTCTGGAGACCATAGAATCACAGAATGGTTTGGGTTGGAAGGGACCTTCAAAGACCATCTAGTCCAAGCCCCCTGCCGTGACCAGGGACATCTTCCACTCGATCAGTTTACTCAGAGCCCTGTCCAACCTGACCTTGAATGTTTCCAGCGATGGGGCATCGACCACCTCTCTGGGCAACCAGGTCATCTGATCCAACCCACCTGCTCAAGCAGAAAAAATAACCCAGACCGAAGTTAGTCCTGGCTCATGGAGCGGCATAAAGATCTCCACTTGCTCGAGTGTTCAAGCAGGAATTGCAATCCCTAATTTTTCCTTGAAAGTAGCAGAGTAGACATTGTAGGAGATGGTGGAAACCACTTGATAGTAGGAATCCCTGGAATCGATTTGCCTTTTGCAGCTTTGCTTTGGGACGCTGAGCCCCCGCCTGCGAAGGGCTTGCTGGTGGGTACAGCGTGTGCCGGGTGGGAGGAGAAGTTCACCGTGAAGTTAACGGGGTTTTGGTACATACCAGTGCTGCATGAAATTTTCATGGTGGTTTAGAGCCACAATTCAAAAATGCTCTGCTAAGTGCCCCAAATGTCTCTAAGCAAATAAAACACTGGTGGAAATCAAAGCATAATTAACATTTGGCTTCAAGGCTGCCCTCTTCCTGCGTGAACCAGGGAGAGTCGGTTACTGCTGCTGCTGAGCTTATTAACATGAGATGCTCGGGCCTCCTTTAAAAGAAAATACTGCTTTTTTTTTTAAGAAAAAAAAAAACTTAAAAAAAAAAAGTATATTAGAAAAAAAAAAGGTGGTTTCTGGTTTTCAGCAAGTAAAGGGCCATGGCCTCAAAAATTAACATTTCCAGCATAATACTTTTAAAAGAATGACTGAAAAAGCCTTTTGTCTTTGATGGCTGATTGTTGTTTTTATTTCTTGTTAGACAAGTTAATGTAAATCGCATTGACAGGGCTACTCCAAACACACTGATTTGTTGACATTAAGCTGCTCAAAGATGGAGGGTTGTGTCAACACCTACAGCGAACTGTCAGGTTTACAAAGCAAGGATGTTTTCTTGGGGGAGGGGAGCAGAGTTGGGGGAAGGGGGGGGTGTTTTGTTTTTATTTTAAGTTTCCTTTAATCCTCTGTTAGTCTTGTATCTTGATAACCTCCTTTGGAAGGTAATCAGGGCAGGTCAAGAGGTGATGCTGACCCGGGAAGGGGAAGCAATCTTTCAGCGATCGAACAAACTCTAACCTCTGCTGTCTTGAGCAGTTCAGCGTGAACTCTCTGCAAAGGGGTTTTGGGGTTGGTTTTTCTTTTTTTTCTTTTCTTTTTTTTTTTTTTTTCTCTTTTGTGCTTATTTTTGCCAGATGGCAGGCACAGATTTCAGCTGGAGCTGCGCGAAGGCTGCGGCCGCTCTGCCTGCAACGTTTCTCCCTTATTCACCTTATTGGCATCTCTTCCCGGTTGCAAATAAATGCACCAGCCCCGGCAGCTCTTGCTTTGGTAGAAAGAACTTTGGAAGTGTTTATTTTCTTTTTAAAGAGAACGATTACCTATGTTTTTATTTAAAAAGCCAAATCCCTCTGTAATATTTGAAAAGGCAAGACACTGTGCGTGGATGTAAAATGCCTTCAACTTTGCACCAACCACAGCCTTGACCATGTTGGGAGGGACCCAACTGGAAAATGACCATCAGGAAAACATCAGATGAGCACCAAAGACACCTCCTTTAGATTTGCACGAGTCCTGTCTCTGATTAGATAACGTCCCCTTGCCCTCGGACGAGCAGAGCAAGTTTTACTCGAGCTGATCCCTACTGTCACTCACTAGGGTTTGACATCCATCACCTCCATCTTACAGGTGGGAAAGCTGAGGCACGTAGATGTTGAGTTGCAGAGCATACTTAGTGGCAACGAAACTGGTCTTGTGGTACTTTGATTTCTTCCTCATCCTCCTTTGAGCCCATATTTTACCTTTTTTTTTTTTAATACCCTGCCAACTGCTGAGCAGCTGATGCCTTGGTTGGAGCCTTGGTGGGTTGTAGGCACCGATGGGCAATGACCGATGTGTACCTCTCTGCCTTTCTCCCTGTTGCTTTGCTCTCTTCTGCGTTTGACTTTAAACTCCCTGTGTTGTCCTCTGTAGGGGGATGTAGATGTCCACTCTACAATGTCGGTGAGTACAAGACTGCGTGTTGTGCGCGTTTGGTCTGCTCTGCTCGCACCTCCAATGTTAGAGGGTGAGTTGAACCAGGGAAGGTCCTTAGTCTCGGAAGGGAGGAAAGGAAAAGATTGAGTAGAAGTTTAAATCAATAGCATAAATAAGAGACCAGGGGAAAGGGTTTCCTTCCAGACACGTCACCCACAACTGTGCTGTTGCAGTAGCATTGCTAAGTTCTTGCTTTTTAGAGCACGTCCCATTTAACCGGCTCCTTTTATCCCCTGCGCATCCCTAAATGTGTGGGGAGTTAGGGGAAATGCCTGTTATTAGGGAGAGCATGATGGGATCCGCAGCCTCTGCTGGAAAGAGAAAGGATCTTTGTCAAGTCCTGCCTCGCTCCCTGTATCTTGTTCAGAGAAATCCCCCATGGGGATTTCAGCCTGCTGTTCCTCCTGGTCTAAGTCCTCCGACCCGGGGCTTGGACCACTAGGCCTTCCCTCCGGCTAGAGTGGTAGAATAGGATTTTATCCAGAAAATAGCGTGGGTTCTTGACGTTTGCCATCTCCCTATTTGGGTTAGGGCAGTTAGCACAAAGCAAGCGAAGGAAACCTTTTGGACCTGCCTTCTGGTTCAACGAACCCTTCTAACTGTTGTCATTTCTGCTTGTTTCATGTGCGGGAGAAAAAGCTGCGGCATTTCTGTGGATAGATCGCAAACAAAGTGCTCTCGAGCTACCTTGTTTCCTCTTTTCCCACATCTGCAAGCCAAGGCACGAGTGAGCAAAGCGTGCCTCGTTTTTTTTTTTGTCAGTGCAGCCCTGCTTGACGCGGTTGTGCGGTGTGAGATGCGGCCGGCGCGGAGGCGTAGCCTCTACCCCAGCTTCTGCTTTTCCGTCTTTAACCCCTGCTCTTCATTTTAATGCTGAGCTGCCATGGTAGTATTGATATTTCACGCCGCGGTTGGATGCTTGTACCCCTTTTCCTGGAAACTGAGCATAGCTAAGCCTTGAGTATTTGCAGGCTCTTGGCACCTGGGGGTTTCTAAGTCAACATCGAGGTCTCAAATCAACGCCAGCTTCTGGAAAGAAAGAGCCTTGTTAAAGCAATTTGAGGCCAGCTTCCATCAAAGCCGTGGCTGGGTTGCTGGCAGGGCTGCGGGAGCTGCCCGCGCTGCCGGGGAGCAGGCGGGGATGCTTTGGGCATCCCCCCGTGGCCACGGGTTTCCAGGAGAGGTGTTGAATGTCGACCATCCTATGTCGTCTCCTTGGGGCGTATCCTAAGAGAGACAGATGCAGAAACTGGTCTTGCCTCTGGTTTTGCAAGACTTTCAACCGTTTAGAAGCCAGATGTATTTATTTCTTTAATTGAATCCAGTGCCTAGACAGCTATGGAGTCAGCTTCCTATGGAGAGGGGTGCATTAGTTTCATTAAGGTAAATCAATGAAAAATAATACCTGGAGGTCCCCTGGAAAGGGTCAGGGATGGAGTAATCCCTTTATATGGTGGGACTTTGCTAGCCTGCTCTTAGTTGGTTTTGGTTTTAACTGCAACGGATTCTAATTTTCCTTTTAACCCCTCTAATTTTCTGTTCTCTGAGTAGTTTGTATTAATCGGTGGAAATAAATCACTAATCTGTCTGTCTAAACGAGATTGAAAAGTAAAAATCTGATTGCACAAAATAGCAGGACAAAGGAGTAATTGTAACAGAGTTTAAAATGTCCAGTGGGAAGTAGTTGTGGCTAAGCCTGGAAGTTTCTTGGTGGTGTAGGTATGGACACACATAAAAAAGTAAGCGAGTTGCCCGGGATGCAGACATGGACAGGGCATGAGCAGCACCCAAAATCCTCTCTGTAGGGACCTCAGAGGGCTTCCTCTGCTCTCCAGCGATGATCCGAGTCCCTCGGACCAGCTTGCCCTGAAGGTTGGGCAAGATGCCCTTCAAACAAGAATGCCTTGGCGTAGTCCCGTGCCGCCCGCCTTGCTGCGGTCTGGTGGCTGTGCATTGCTTTCCTGCTCTTCTCAAGCGACCCCAAAATCCCAAATACTAACCAAAATGAGAGGGTCGAAACAAGAGCTAATGGTTGCTTTAAAGCAAGGATAAAGCATTCAAATACGGTGGATTTAGCTTTGTTGGCTGGGGAGAAGGCTGACCTCTGATTAACCCAGGAGTGCTAGTTAACTCGAACCCGGGTAAGCCAAGTTATCTTGTAATTACATGGTTTCTTGTCTGCTTTCAGCACTTTGAAAATTAATTGAAGCTAAAATGCCCAGTCTCATAAATCCTTTAAATCAGGGTGTGCATGCTTCCCTAGGTACTGCTCCCCTTTGTGTAGTCACCCTGGCATGTTTGGCTTTGATTTTTATTTTACAAACTTAGATTTATAAAGCTATTCGACGCTTACTTTTGCATGCACGTACATACACGAAGAATCAAATGTGCTGTACGGGGAATTTGGCAGCCAAAAATCCATCCTCAGCGTAAGGAATTCAAACATGCCTGCCACCTCCTACGCCACAACCCCAGCGTGTACCTTCCAAAAACCCTCACAGAAGTTAAAGTATGGGTTTGGGTTGGTTGGGTGGGGTTTTTTTTTTGCCCCTTTAGGCTCCAATTTAAGCAAAACAATAGACTTGGTCATTTTATGCTTTCCTCTTATTTCCTTCACTGGCAACCTGAAATCTTGTAAGGCTCTTCTTATGTTGCGAATGTGCCAAAGGACGCCGATGAACACCGCGTCTACCTCCAAAACCCCCAGCTATCTTCCTTAACCTACCCACGGGAGGAGACCCACCTGCCCTAGAGGAGCCCCACGTTCAAGGGCAATGACTTTGGGGTCCCCCTGCAGAGGTCACTTGAATTGAGGTTGCATGGAGAAGCGTTGGGAGCTTGTGTCCATCGTTTGGAGCCGATAGCCGCCTGAGCGTGGTGGAGTCCTATTGGTGTGGTTGAAATGGCTGCAATTAAGGACGCGTCGTTTTGTGACCATCACAGGGATGTCTTTACGTAGAGATATGCTCTCTCCCTGTATCTTGCAGCCTAGGTTAGAAGTAGTTGCAAGAGAGAGCAGGAAAAGCATTTAGAAGTGCAGATCGTCATGGATTTCTCATGATCGCCATGGTCTTTCTTCACTGTGTTTCACAAATGGCAATAAAGAGATGGGTTACTTAAAAACCAAGGTAACAGTAATTTCTACAGCTTTCGCCATCCATCTTGTTCTTCTCTCTGATTTTCAACTATGAAGTCTCAATGTTGAAAATGGAAATTTAATGTAAGATTTAGATTTTAGAAAAATGTAAAAGGAGCTGCAGTTTCATATGCTGCTTGTGTCCG